TCAAACAGCAACAGTAATTTCCTTTTAAATAACATTTATTTATTTATTTTTAAGCTTTGTTTGGTTTGGGGGTGTTGCTTGTTTTTGCTGTTGTTGTTTTGGGGAGAGTTAGGTTTTTTTTTTTTTTTTTTTTTTTTTTTTTTTTTTTTGGATTTTGGTTGTTTGCGTTTTTCTGGATTGTCTGTTTAGATAGGGTCTCACGGTATAACTCTGGCTGACCCAGAACTCATTGTACACCAGGCTAGCCTTGAACTCACAGAGATATGCCTGCCTCTGCCTCTGCCTCCTCAGTTGCTGGGATCAAAGGCATGTGTGCAACACCCGGTTGTTGTTTTAAGTGTGTGTATGTCTCTGTCTGTCTGTCTGTGAATTACTTCAGGAACCCCCCTGGAGCTAGAGTTACAGTTAAGAGCCTCCTAACTTGGCTGACAGGAACCAAGCCTTGGGAGGAGCAACCAGTGCCCTTAACCACTGAGCCATCTCTCCAGACCCCTCCTCCCACTCTGTTTTGAGACAGGTTCTCCCTCCTACATACAGCTCAGGCTGGACATGACTCCCTGTGTAGCTAAGGATGGCCTTAAGCTCCAGAACCTTCTTTCTACACCTCCCACTGGGGTTACCAGAGTGCACAAACATGCATGGTTTAGTGCACACCCATTCCTAAGCGCCTCACCAAAAGAGCCACACCCCCAGTACCTAGGACAGTGGTTTTTGTTTGGTTTTGGTTTTTATTAAATAGGAGACTGGGGATGTGACTCAATTGGTAGGGGTCTTGCCTGGCAAAGCAAAGCCCTGGGTTCCAGCCCCAGCTCTGCATAGACCAGGCATGTCCGTGCACATCTGCTGCCCCAGCACACACAGGGGGCAGAGCCAAGAGGACTGAGAGTCAACGTTCTTCCCCACTACACGACAAACTTGAAGACAGCCTGGGCCACGTGTGACCCTGTCTCCAAACTGAAACGAGAATAAAGAGGTAAGTTAGAGTTAGAAGGGAAAGGGGGAAGAAGGAGAAGGTGGGAGAAAAAGGACGTGGAATGGAGATGGAGGTAAAAAGGAAGAGAGAGAGGGAAGGAGGGGGGAAGAGGAGGAGAGGGAGGAAGGAAAGAAGCAAGGAGATGGTGGAAGAAAGAGGGGCAAGGGCTGGGGCAGCACTTGCGTACCAAGTTCAAGTTCCTCAGTCTGACCCCAGAACCCAAAATGAAAAGCATGATCCAGAAAACTCTGGGTGAAAGGCCAAAGTAGAAATATCTTTTTGTTGTTACTACTTATCTCAAGATTGTGCATGAAAGCAGGCAAGAAGGAGTACCCAAAGGTGTGTGGGCCTGTGCCAATAAAACTTTATTTACAAAACTGGGTCTGGCAAGGTGGCTCAGCAGGTAAAAACACTTGCCACGGCAAGTGTTTGATCCCTGGGACACATGTAAGGATGGCTGGAAAGAACAGACTCCACAAGGTTTTCTGTCCTCTGACCTCCACACACATGCCCTGACACATATGAGCATACACAAGCACACATGTGCACACAATATGCACTCAGGCATGCATACAAATACAAAATAATTTGAAATTTTAATTTAAAATTAGAATAGTAATTATAAAATAATGATAATAATAGTTATAAAAATAAGATGGAAAGCAACTTAGAAAGCTACCTGGTATTGGCCTTATACATGTGCACTCACTGACATGAACACACACACACAAACACACACACACAGAAGAACTAGAGAAGACACCTGCCCATGCCTCCAATAGTCATCCTGATGGATACCCCTAACCCTCAGGTTTCAATTCTCACCACTACACACTGTCTTCGAACTTCACAATGCTCACAAGGCTGTCTCAGTCCAGAGCTAGCCTGATCAAGAGAGAATGGGAAAAGCTATTCACTACTTAGCTCAGCTCAGCTACCAAGACTACATCAAAAGATAAAGTGAATGCCCCACGCTTAGGGACAATGCCACAAAAAGACCCATTCCTTTCTTAAACATCACATAGTTCCTCACTACCACCACCAACCCCATCCCAAGCAAAAGCACCCTGCTGGTGGACCTTACATATCCATGTTCTAGAAAGTTCCTCGCCCCCACACCAAGTTGCTAAGAGGCATCACAACTCGTTTATTTGACAGAATTTTGTTAACGATTACCCCAAAGCAGGGGTGGGGAGCTTCCAATCCAAAAGAGCAAGTGTTTGTTAAGAAATCCAGTACAAGGGCAAGCGAGATGGGTAACAGTCCTCACTGCCAAGCCTCATGGCCTGTGTCCAATCTTCAGCACCCATAGTGGAGAGGCCCGACTCCTGAAAGCTGTCATCTGATCCCTACACTCGAGCTGCCACACACACACACACACACACACACACACACACACACACAACATTATAATAAATTAAATTAAATTTCAAAAATAAGGAAACAAAAGAGATGTACATAATGGTGTATGACTTTAATCTCAACACTTTTGGGGCAGAGGCAGACAGGTCTCTGAGTTAGCCTGGTCTACATAGGGAGTTCAAGACTACATAGTAAGGCCCTGCCTCAAGATGATTAATTAATTAACTAAATTAAAAATAAGAAAACAAAGAAACCCAGGAGGCAGGCAGGGAACTGCCATCCTAGCCAAGTGGCCAGTCCACAGCCTTTTGGGGCCTGTCCTTTCTTCTCAGGCAGAACAGGTGGCTGTTGCTTTGAAGGCATGTGACAAAGACTCAATGAGATCATATTTCCAAAGTGTGGGGATTTTCCAGAAGATAAGCATTTTTGTTATTCTTGTTGTTTGAGACAGGCTCTCCTGGAGTCCAGGCTGGCCTCAAATTGTTGTTTGAGACAGGCTCTCCTGGAGTCCAGGCTGGCCTCAAATTATCTACGTAGCCCAGGATGACCTCGAACTCCTGGCCCTCCTTCTCCACCTTCAGAGTCCTGTGATGGCAGGCATACATACCCCCCCTCCCTGCACCTGGTTTGTACGCATCTAGGAATGAAACCCAGAGGCTTCATGCATGCTTGGGAAGCAATGAACTAACTGAGCCACATGTCCAGCCAGGTAGTGTCTTAACATTACATGCTTACTAGATTGACGCCAGTGTCTTGGCTACCTGTACACCATTATAGAACAAATATTTATATGCACCTAATAGGCACTAGGCACTGCTCAAGTCCTAATATCAAAGGAACAAATACAAGATCCTGTCCTTGTGAACACACCAGAGAAGCTCCATTTCCTCAGCTCAGGAAGTCCAGCCACAGACGAACAATTAATTACTAAAAATGCAAAAACAGAATTCAAGGAACCACACTTGTGTGCCCAAGTGCACAGCTACAAACACAAAGTAATCCTACTTCCCTAAGGTGACCCCGGGAGCCCTGGAGAGCAGCACAGGTGACCCCAGGAGCCTCGGGGAGCAGCACAGGTGACCCCGGGAGCCCTGGGGAGCAGCACAGGTGTTAACAATTCTCAGGCTGGGGCGATGGCTCAGTGGGGAAAAGCACTTGCCACCCAAGCATAAAGAATGGAGTTCAAATCCACAACACCTACATAAAAACCAATACTCCAACACACATCAGTAACCTTTGTGATAAGAGATGAAAACAGAAGGAGCCTGCTGCGGCTTGGTGGCTAGTCAGCATAGCCAAATCAGCAAACTCTAGGTTCACTGAGAGTCCCTGTCTCAAAATACAAGGTTGAAGTGACAGAGGCAACCTGTGTCAACCTAGGGCCTCTGCAAACACACACAGGCACACGTATGTGCGTGCGCGCGCACACACACCTCCCTCATTCACAAAGGAACTGCATGTGGTTCCTTCCCTCCTTGACCCCAAATGAACTGCAGTTCCTTCCTTCCTTGACCCCTTCCTCGTTGCAATTAATTTCCTTTTGCAATGAAATCTGAACCAGTAACTCAGAAGATATTTTTCATGACATATTTTTTGAAACAGGGTCTAACATAACTCAGGCTGGCCTCAAACTCACCGTCCTCCTGCCTTGTCCATAACCAGGCACAGAAAAGTATAAGGACAGTCTCAGAACAAGTGAGGTTACACCCTAAACATGCCTCGCTTTAGCCATCTCTGAAATGGGTATGTAACGGTGGCCTCCAGGGGACACTGGGAGGTTCTAGAGCAATAAGATAACCAGCCTGGAGGTTTATAATCATTTTAATTATAACCATTCCAAAAGCTGCCCCTACTGTGACTATGATTGCTGCGGGGCCAAAGGTATGTAGAGTTTGCTTCTAAACATCTGGAAACAGAATTATAAACATAGCAGCCATGATCCTACACACAGGGGTGGATTCTCCAACAAGTGTCCTTTGGCTTTAAACTCTTCAGGTGTTTGGCTGCCTGAATCTATTGTAACCCAGTAACCCCATTTCCTTAAGGGGACCCCAAAGATCATGGGGAGGGGGACAGATTTGGGTTTAGAAAAAAGAACAGATACGGTGAAAGGCGCAATGGGAACAGACACCCGGAGGCTGGGCGGGCACTAGGGCAAGGTTCCTCAGACCCGAGCTGGACACACGCGGGGTGCAAAGCCACAAATACAGCGGGCAAAGGCCAAGGTCAGCTGGCTTCATGTGGGGCCGCGGCCACCAAACTCACTATCACCTCTTCCCCAGGGGAAAAATGATCAGACTTGAGGGAGGGGAGAATCTATATAGACTGAGGGTGTCCTCAACCTTCAGTCCTTAGAGAGGGAGCTCTAGGTTGGCCGAGAAAAAAAACGGGGGGTATCCACAACCCTCAATCTTTAGTGGAATTGTGAGATGGGAGTCTGCAACCCTGGGTCCTTTGGTGGGGGGGTAGGATAACTCTAAGTTGCATGGGGAGATGGGAAGGGTGTCCCCAACACTCAGTCAAAAGGGAGAGTTTTCTAGATTGGCTGCGGCGGTGGGGAGGGGTGTCCCTGACCCTCACTACTTAGGGTGGGGACTCTAGGGTGGCTGGGGCAAAGGGAGGAGTGTCCCCGGCACGCGGTGATTCCCCCTCACCCCAGACTTACCCTCTCCAGGGTACAGGTGGCCAGCTGCGCCCACCAGCAACGCGGCCACGGCCACCAGCAACGGCGCGGCCGTCGTCTCACGTCGTCTCCCGGATCCCATAGCTGTAGGAGAGCAGGGACCCCGGCGATCAGAGCATACCACGCCGGCCCGCTGGGGACATAGCCCGCGAGGAGGTCGCCGGAGAGGCGCTAGGGGCCGTGCGGCTTCTTTTCCACGCCGGTGGCTGACGGGCCGCAGCTCTCTAACCGAGGGGGATCTGGGGGCAGTCCCGGGAAGAATGCAGAGGCCTCGGCTTCACCCAACAGCAATGGAGCGGCCCGCAGACCACGGCCCCGGGTCACCCAGGCCCAGTGCCGTGCCTGCGATCGCAGGGTCCAGGGCTCCCAGCTGTGCGCCCCCTTCCCAGGCCTCCTGTTTTTCCGCCCGGTGACGCTCTGGATGGGTCGCGCTCTGTGGAGTCTGAGACAGAGGGACGCGCGAACCGGCGGGCACCTGGGCTGGCGGCTGCGGCGGGAGCGAGGGCTCGGCTCCGGCCCGTAAACAACGCGGCCCGTCAGCTGGGCCCCGAGCGGGCCGAGAGAAAAGGTGGCGCGGATTGAAGCTGGGAAGGGACTCTGCGCTCAAGTGAGGCCCGCGGAGGGGACAATCCCGCAGAGCGCAGGGAGGCGTGGCCAGAGCTTGCAATGCCACGCCTCCTGGCCTCCTCGTGTGGAGCCCCCAGCTTAGGAGGCCCTGGGCGCACCCCAGACTCTCCCAACTCCGACACCCCAAAATATCTATTCTAAAAGGTGACAGTTTAAAAGCTTGGAAGTGTCCCCAGATAGCAGATTGACATGAACACCCAAAACAACGCAGAGACTCCCACATCAAATCTCGGGAGCTGCCCAGCTCCGCGCCTGCCTCGAATGCCCCCAAATAGCCCAGAGGTCCCAATTTTAAAACCTAGAGCACCCCAGATCCTCGCCTGACTCTAACACAACTAAAGAAGGCTGAGGTTCCCATTTAAAAGCTAGGAACGCCCCCTAGATCCCCTCCCTACTGCAACAAACCCAAATAACACCGAGGTTCCGATTTAAAGGTTTGGAGCGCGCTCCAAATCTCCACCTGATCCGGACACCCCAAACAGCCCCGAAATAACAATTTAAAAGCCTGGAAATGCCACCAGACCCCTCTGGACACAAACACCCCAAACAGCTCCAAGACCTCAATGTCAGAACATAGGGATCTTTCTCTAACACCATATAGCCCTGAGACTCTGATCGCAACATGGGAGCCCCCCACAATGCCCCCAGATGAAAGGCTCAATCGAACAGATCCTGTGTTTACACTTTTTACTACTCTTGTCTCCTGTGGGAAAATCACTTTAATACGTTACTCCTCTTTTTTTTTTTTTTTTTTTTTTTTTTTTTTTTTTCAGCCTCTAAGACTAATGCCTCACTGGATTCCCCCAATCCTGAATCTCTCTAGGAGCTAGTGGACGCCCCAGTGAGATCCCGCCCAGTAGCGTGGCCCACACCAGCTTCCAGACATAGCCACGTGTCCACAATACTGGCCGCCTGTGTTCCCTGGCCTGAGCCCCTCTCCGCAGCACTGGATTCCAGGGGAAATCAATAAAGAAATGACTCCTAGAGGAACATAACAAGGCTTCTAGGAAAACGTTAGAAACTTCATATAGGACCCGGGTAGACATGTTCCATTTTTAACGCGCATACCAGTAGGTGGCTGTATAAATGTCTAAAAGAGTCATTTACTAACAGCCCCGCTCAACCAGCTTCGATGAAGAGCTAGCCCTGCCTGGACCTTATAAATATGTGAAGTCCAGAGTCCTCTATCCTTCACTTCCCGAATCCATTCAGGCGGATTACCATCATATCTGTGGCTGCTGGTCTTGAAAGGATGGAAAAATACAGGCTCTGCAGGTCTTTCAGTCTATGCAATGGATTTGACAATATCTGTTAAAAGTAAAAACAAAAATAAAAAGGCAAGCAATAGAAAAAAAGATACTCAGAATCCTTTGGCCTATACACATACAGAGAATAGAGAGGAGAGAGAGAGAGAGAGAGAGAGAGAGAGAGAGAGAGAGAGAGAGAGAGAGAGAGAGAGAACACTAAAACAGAACCAACCCTGGAAAGGCAGGTCTTTAATCTCAGAAGGTAGGGGCAGGAAAATCAGGAATTTGAACCTAGCCTGAAACACATGAAAGCCTGTCATAAATAAATAAATAAATAAAACTGCTGACAAGATGGCTCAGCAGGTAAAAAAGGCACTTGTTGCCAAGCCAGAAGACGTGAGTTCAATCCTAAAGCCACACAGTAGTACACACACACACACACACACACACACAGAGAGAGAGAGAGAGAGAGAGAGAGAGAGAGAGAGAGTAAATAAATAAATGCAAGCATGTATTTATTTACTGTGAGAACCCAATACCATGGGTGGGAATGAGAAGGTGTTCAAACATCACATCAAGATGTGTTTGGCTTGTGTGTCCATGTGTGCATGTGTGCATCAATGAAAGTAGCATGTGTGGGAATGCATGTGCAAGCACACTTGTGCTTGTAGAGGTCAGAATCAGGAGTATCCCTAGATCAGTCTACAACTTATTTATGTTTTGAGACAGGGTCTCTCAACAAGCCTGAAATTCATCTTTGAGCCAGCGAGCCTTGGGGTACTTCCATCTCTGTTTCCGAGCTCTAGGATCATTGGTTTGGGCCACAGCCCATACACCAGTTTTCTATATGAATTCTGGAGATCTCAATTCAAGTCTTCATTCTTGGAAGGCAAATGCTGCACAACTCAGCCACTTCCTCAGAGCCTGGTTTTGTTGTTTTCTTTTTGTTGGTTTGCATTTGAGACAGGGTCTCATGGTGTAGCCTAGGTTGTCATTGAAATCACAGAGATCCACCTGCCTCTGTCTCACAGGGGTCGGGACTAAAGTTTTGCACCACCATGTCCAACCTTAATTTTATTTGTGGGATAAGGAAAGAGTATGAGCAGATGCCCACAGAGGTTAGAAGAGGGGGTTGTGTCCCCTGGAGTCAGGAGCCAGAAAGACCCATTAGTGAAAGGAAAACTGACTCTCACAAGCTGTCCTCTGACCAACACACACACACACATACACACACACACACACACACAATTAACACTAACACCAGGTGGGCACCAAATGCTGAAAGCAGCATGCTAGGAGTATTAGCCCATGCTTTCCAGAGACAACAGATTGCAGACAGCTTGGCCTTAGCCAGTGAGGACACTGTGGTGTTGAAATGTCACAGATCATGAACCATATGGATCTTTGACGGTCTTAGAGCCTGAATAATGATCTAGTTTAACTTTGCCCCTGACCGGAGTAACAGATAAACTTTAAAGAATAAGCCATTATTAGCACATCTCTGGCTATCACCTACCCTAAGGCTAACAATACTGTAGATCCTCTCACACCCAAAGAGATTTCATTTTGTTATTGGGGCCTGATTATCTTAAAGTTACCACCTGTGTAACTGGCACACACAGTAACTGGCAGCTTGTTTCTCTCTATGGCTGCATAAAAGGTCATGCACAGCGGCAGAGATGACTCAGTTGGTAAACGTTTGATCAACAAACATGTCGGCCTGAGTTTGGATCCCTAGAACTTACATTAACATGAAGGAAGTGAAGTGCCCATCTATTATCCTAACATTTCTACAAGGAGATGGGAAGTGGGGACTAGAAAATCACTCAGAAAGACAAAGGACAGCTAACCTAGCATCTGTTGTGGTAAACAAGAAACTCAGTCTCACATACGATGGGAGGTAAGGATCAATGTCAGAGGTTGCCCTCCGACCTCCACACATGTACAGTGGCCCATATGGTCACTCTTCTTTGGTTCATAATAAACTATTTCCTTGTTTACTTTCAGAGTCATTACTTTGGGCCAGAGCTAGAGCTCAGGTGGCAGAGCAACTGCAGAGCATTCGGGAAACCCTGGATCCTATCCTAGCAACTCTACCCCAGGGGGTGGGGTGCCCTCTGTTGATGCCAGTACTGAGGAGGTAGCAGCAGCAGGAGTTCAAGGTCATCCTTCATCACACAGCCAGTCTGAGGCCAGACTCAAAATAACAACAACAAAAGAGCTGAGCCTGGTTACTTGTCATCCCAGCTACTGAGGAAGCTGAGGCAGGAGGATTGAGACTCAAAGACTACCTGGGCTTCAGAGCAAGTGCAAAGCCAACATGGGTAATTTAGTGAAGCCCTGTCCAAAAAGAGAGCTGAGAGTGTGTCTCAGTGGTAAGACGGTCAGTCATCTAACCCTGAGGTGGAGAGAGAGCATTAGCATCTTGTAATCTCCTCATTGGTGACTGATTCAGGCAAGATCTGTCTGTGAGGGCTAACAGAGCCACCAGCATCATCCTTGTACCTCTGTCTGCAACATGCAATCAATGACCTGACTTTGTGCTGAGAGCTGCATCAGTAGGAGATTTCTGTCCTTACGCAAACATCACAGAGTGTGTTTGCACAAGCCCAGATAGCCTGGGCTGTATGGTGCAGCATGCCATTACTAGGCTACAAACTTCAAAACACTTCTACACCCAGCATTGTCTACTAACGCAACACTAGGTTGAGTGCTGTGTCTAAACAGTAAACAGGAACAACAGAAAACATTTTTAAAAAGAAAAAAACAAAAAGAGGTGCCTTGCTGAGTGAAGCCTTTGCTGAGCAAGGGTCACCCACACAAAAGCATGACAGCATGGGTTGGGGGAGGGGGAGGGAGAGACAGACCCGAGGCTAGTCTGTACTCTCATCAGGCTCATTTGCCTTTGTGAGCCTGGCTTATTTCACTTAACAGAATGATTTCCATGCAAACGTCACAAATTCAGGTCTTTTTTTTTTTCTTTTTCTTAATATGGCAGAATAAGATTTTATTGTGTATGAACAGAAGGCTTGTTTAACCAAGACATGAGTCCTCAGTTTAAATTTTAAAATTAACTGGGTGTGGCACATACTCATAATGTTAGCATTATTGGCTGTGGCGGGGGTGGGGGAATGTCCAGGGTTCAAGGCTAGCCTGGGATACACAATAAGGTCTTGGCTCAAAAACACAGTGTAAAATAATATATATGACCATAGGAAAATTAAGATTATGGGAGACAGCTTAGTGGAGGAAATGTCAATCATGCAAGTGTGAGCATCAGTTTGATTCCCCAACACCCAAAGCAGGAAGGCGTGACAGCTGCCTGTAGTCCCAACACTCAATGAGGAAAACTGGCCATCTAAGCCAGAGTCCATAAACTTCTCACCAAGAAAAGCC